TTCACTATAAATACCCATGCATGCAAAGGCAATGGGCAAGCAAGAGAAATTGAGAAGAGCTAAGTGAGTGGGTGCTCTTGTGAGAAAAAAGAAAGCGAGAAATTATGAAAAAATCCTTGTATAGATTAAGAAAGAGTATGAGGAAGAAATTGAGAGCTTCTATACATTAAAATTAGGGTGTTGAGAGCTTTTAGACAAAGTTATTAATACCATTTCATACAGACCGGTATGTACCAGTTTTTGTATTAGTTCAAAATGATACAAAATCCAATTTTGTTTCGATCAAATTTCAATGTACCGGTTGATATTTGGTGTACTGACCGGTACGCAAAAAATTGATGGTAGAAGAAATCAATTTAAATTGGAAAGAGTAGTGCTAGGGATACTCGCCTCCTACACTCTCCAACCAACACATACATTTTTATTGGGCCATGTAAGTTTGCTCGAAAACTATAAAATCCACCTCTTTCAACCAAAATAACGTGACCCAATGAAAATAGAAGTATTGGTTGGAGAGTGCAATTGGTGAGTGCCTCTAGTATTGCTCAATTGGAAAATGTGTCAATACAAAGTCATTTCAAATTTGAAAAATGTGTCGGTACAAAAGCAATTCAAATTTGAAAAGGTAAAGTTTATTTTTGGTCTTTAATTTTAAAGTTTTATGTAATTTTCATTTTTTAATTTTTTTAATAATTTTTTTTAGTTCATTAATTATGAAAAATGTATTTTTTTAATTTTTTTATCAGTTATTTAGTTAAGTTTGTCTAAATATACATATTTAATGTTCAAAAAAAGAAAAAAATTATGAATATTTTATAAAATTGATTATTTTAAACTTGTTTTCAATTTATAAGAATATAATTTATAAAAATATATATTTATAACGATAAATCCAAAACAATACATGAAAAATTTTGATATCCAGTACGTACCGTTCTAGTAATAAAATCGGTATGGTATTGACAACTTTGCTTTTAGGGTGTTGAGAAGTTCTTGAGTGAGAGTTTTTAAATTATTGTACTTTTTTTTTAATAGTGAATTTATTTTTCTCTTTTCTGTGAATGTAGACTTATTGAAAAATATACAAGTCGAACCACATTAAATTGTTGTCTCAATTTTTTATTGCTTCTGTTTGCGTGAAATTGTGGTATTCGAAATTCTCAACAAAAAAATTATTAACAAATGATTCCAAGCCAAAGAATACTTGATACAGACTTATGCAGAGCAATTTGGAATAAATTTTTGCAAGGGAGAGTCAGGTTTGTTGCTTGGACATTGTTCTTGGATT